CTGGATGGACTGAATCAGTGCAAATGCATCTTCATCCGCATTTTTACTACAAGACGTGGCGCACAGCAGAGAGGTGGCAGATGCGGCTGCACGCTGAGGTGTGCTCTGATTAAACAAGCAAGACAGATATGATTACAAATGCATGGAAGGAGAGAAGGGGGAGAAAGAGAGATGAAGAAAGGAGTGAAGCGTGGCAGGAGAGATTTTGATGATCCACACTACCTGTCTCTGAAAAGCTGCTCATCTGTTAATACTGGCAAATCACATTCATCATTCCTACCAGTGGCACAGGAGACCGAGCCACCGCAGGCTTTGGGAGCACTTTTTGTGTTTGTGTGTGTGTGTGCGTACGATGTGCGTGCAAGCATTCATGCGTGAACTTATGGGTATGAGACCGAATCCGTGTGTGAATTACACTGCGGAAGAAGTACATTAATAATAGATCAACTCTCCCTTTGTTTGGGACGTAAATGTGATGAGTGGGCCTTGTAATTGGTTAGTTTAATAACTGGAGACAAACTGAGTGTTCTCTGCCTCTCATTCAGACACACACACACACATGCAATTACACACTACAGAAACATGCCGAAATTGTAATTCTCTGTCAAACACTGGAACACACGCACACACACACACACACTCCACACTCATGTCAGGGAGGCATTCACACGCTGGTCTGTTTAATTTAGGTTTGGCAGATTATAGTAATTATGTTAAAGAAAAGATTTTCTAGAGTAATTTGCCCTTTTCTGTCCTTGAAGACTGAAACAGTGCTGGCTGAAGGATGATCACACTCCTATTTTTTTACACTGCTACTTAACTGCTCAACCAGATTTGAAAATATGTTCGCATGAAGGTTGTGAAACATCCAGGCTTTTATTGTTTTGCATGATTTTATGGCAACAATAATCTCCTTGATCATCCAAAAATGTGTTGCTGTCGATGTAATCACAGCCATAACAGCAAACTGTTCTTTATATTAAGGTGCAGAGCATGTGTATTATGTGTGTGTGTGTGTGTGTGTGTGTGTGTGCATGTTATAGAGAGAACAAATGTAAACTACCCATGAAATTAAGATTCAGAACAGAGTTTTCTGTTTGTATGACGGTGTAAATGCAGCCCTTTGCGTGTGACAATGCAAACTATCCTTGAAATTAAGATGTAGACCAGGAGACATTCCTGTGTGTGTCTGTGCATACGTGTGTGTGTGTGTGTGTGTGTGTGTGTGTATGTGTGTGAGGAGGCAGATCGCCGAGCTCTGAGTATTCTCACCACTCTCCGGAGACAGAGGGGAGGGGGATTTGAAGAATCTTTCGAACATGCTGACAGCTTGTCAAGGCCCTCCTACGACTGTAATGAATTTTAGCCTTTTGTGGTGTGTGGTCCCGTTGCACTGATAAGCCCTGGCACTAATACAGTTAACAAGAAGTGAGAGTGTGTATATGCATGTGTGTGTGCGTCTGAGGGGCTGACATGGTGTTTACATGCTTTTGAGCAAGAATAGCTTGATGAATTGTCGTGTTTGTCAATAACGATGATGAATATTACCTGGTTGAATTTGCATGACTGTTTATGTGTGTGAATATGTGTGTAATAATAGACAAGTCATGATGTTAAGTACTCCATCACTACATTTCAGAGGATTTCACTTCACTCCACTACATTTATCAGACAGATATTGCTACTACATTTTTACATTAAAAAATCAACACTGTCAAATAGAGCGACAGCATCAGTGCCCCAAAACAATGTATGTTTATGTCCCAGTGACAGAGTCCTCCAGCAGCCATATTAATTCTAACTGGAGTGACAGAGAAAGTGATGTGACGTTGTTCAGCCCATTAAGGATGTTGCATTTCACTGTAGAGCTGCATGCAGCATATTGATTTCCCAGCCCCTCCCTCTCTCTTTATCATGAGACTGCTGCGGTGTGGCCAGTGTGAGTTCTGCACACACACACACACACACACACACACACACACAGATACACACACTTACAGGGTTAACTGTTAGCATCAAACAGCTTATGTTACCCATCGGTTATTAACAGGTTAAGACAGAGTCAAGCCATTTTGGTGCTAGTGTTAGATTAACGACTCGCTGTCAGGTGTCAATTGCTGCTGCCTGGCTTCAGCCCAGGCAGCAAAATCAACACATTCTCACTCCAACCTCATCACATATAGACATTTTGGCCATGGACTCTCCACGTCCACATACAACGTGCAAGGTACCTTGGTGTCAAGTTCTGCCTGTTACATGCATTGTATTCTTTTAAAATACACTTCCGTTTTCACAGGAAATTGAACGTTTACACACAGTCTCTTTGAAAATAAACACACCACGTCAGTACAACACCGAGAATTGATGTTTTTTCCTTTTCCTTCCATTGTTAGGTTCAGGTGTGGCTTTAGAACCTTACGGGATTGGGGCATCGGTGGCTTAGTGGATAGACCAGTCGCCCCATGTACAAGGCTGTTGCCGAAGCGGACCGGGTTCGACTCCAGCCTGTGGCCCTTTGCTGCATGTCATTCCCTCTCTCTCTCTCCCCCTTTCATACTTAGCATTCCTATCAATTAAAAATGCCCCCCAAAAAAAGAGAACCTTACGGGATGCAACGCCGCTCTCACGGGTAACAGTCAGTGTTTGTTGGCCCAATCCACCAGATTTTGACGACTTTGGAGTGAGACCAGGCTTACAAAATATGTCAGATGAGATCATGTTGTACTGTTTCAGCTCGTGGTAATCAGCCAGAGGTAGCAGGAGAACAGCTCACAGAGACTGTCCTTCAGCACTGCATTGAGCAACAGCAATAGCTGATCGTTGGCCCAACATCACATAGGGTTGCACGTGAAATTGCATGCTAACACAATGCATACAACAAAACCAATATGTGCTGCACACTGCCTACTGAATTAACAATCAAGTATGCCATTACCAGCAGGGTGATCACACTGAATACTCAAGTAATATGGAACTCTAAAATGACAGGGTCTCACCCAGATGGGTGTGGTTTTGCAGGAAGTACCAGTGTTGAATTTCTCGCTAGACATAGCAACTTTTCAGACCCCCCCAGCAACTTTATATCTAAAAGGGCAAAAGCGACAAATTCAGTGACTCATTCAGGCCATCAGGAAAGAAAGAGAGAGATATTATATTGTAATTCATTCCCGTGCATGCTGCTCAGAGTAATCACAGTCCCCGGCACTTCCGCCATCAGCATGGGGTCTCTCCCCCACTCTCTCATGCCATGCAGTCATTGATGCTATTGCTCTCTGGATTGGAAGTGAGACAAAGTGGTGCACTATAGTATAAGGTCCATAGCTCTCCTGCCATTCAAATGTTTTGTTGACGATTTTTCTATTGAATCTAATTCATCAATGTTTTAATGCTTCCATTGATTTTTGATGATGTCACCAAAACACAAATGAGCATATGATGTCAGCTGGTGACTTTTAGTGACTTTGGAGCTTGTGCTGGCTACTTTCATTTGAAGGAGTTGGCAACAGTAGGAAGTAGCAGTACATGGTACAGTGACTTCCATGAGCTGTTGAGAGAAGTTTGCCTTGAGGGCTTTCTTCTTGGTCAAAATTGGGGGTAAAAATAAATGGTTGGGTTTAAAATGAATAGAAAGGGCTTTCCGGCAAAAAGCCTGCTAGGCAGACACCTCCGATGTGCGCTCCATGACCATCTCAGCCCTGCTCAGCCCGTGTGCGCGTTCCTGAGGTTTCCAAGATGGAGAGTGATGTTAGTTTTATACAAATATAAAGCCTGTTGGCTGGGCGTCTTTTGATTGAGTCATTTTTTAACAACAAAAAACCTGAATACCTTTGGGTTGTGGAAAAAAACAAGACCTTTGAGGATGTCATGTTGGGCTTTAGGAAACACTGATCGACATTTTTCACCATTTTCTCACATTTTCTAGATCAAACAACTAATCACTTAATTGAGAAAATAATCAACAAATGAACTGACAATGAAAACTATCATTAGCTGCAGCCCTAGAATGGAGTATTTTTAAACTGCGGTATTGGTACGTTTACTTAAACACAGGATCTAAATACCACCACTAGAAAGTATATCCTCAAACTTTTTCTTATAATTTTTGTTGCTGAAGTTGAATTCTCCGCTACATGTTGGCTGTCTGCCCTCAGTTTCACCTCCCACTGTTAAATAGAAACATATATAAAATCACAAATCAGTTTCCTTGCACCAAGCTCTGCATTCACACACATATGCACACACACACAAGCTGTTGTCAGAGTCGGCGCTGGCATGTATCTTTGTGCCTTGTCATCACATGCTCCGACTGAGCTCTAAATGTCACTTGTCTCTCTCCGCTTCATCTGCCTGACTCATCCTCCTTGTCTTCGCTCTGCATTTGAAATGCTTGTGTGTGTGTGTGTGTGTGTGTGTGCGACACTGACATGTGCTGGTGTGTACGCGCTTGATGGACACACCGCTGCTCTCCACCTCCCTTTGTACGGCGCCTGCAAGCACAATGATGCTCACTGCATTGATTTTCTCGTGCCATTTTATAATTATGTCTCCTCTCTTTTTATTCGTCCTCCCCCTCTCTCCCTCCCTCTTTCTCTCTTTTATCCTGTCTCTCTTATCTCCCTCCTCTCTCTTCTATTTTTCTAATTCCATCCCCCTGATCCATTTTTATGCCTCACTGTGCCCATGCTTGTTATCTCGGCCCTTTCTCTTTCTTTTCCTGTTTGATCTCAACTTCTTAATTTCCTCTCTCATCTACGTCACTCCGCTTGGTTCGGTTTTGCACCCCTACCCTCCCCGCTCTTCCTGTGATGATCGTCATTGTTTTTCTTTTTGCTCTTCTGTTTTCGCCTTATTTTTCTCTTTCATGCCATTTCTGATATTTCTCAATGTTTTCTTCTTTCTAACAGGAGCGCATCCTCTCTCCGTTTCACACACCCCGACCCTCTTTTCTGTTATTTTTCTCCCATTAATTATCTTTCCACTGTTTTTTTTTCTTTCTGCAGCCTCTCTGGAGTGCACTCCGTCTTCACCATAGCCTGATGGAGGACTATCCAGTCACAAAAGGACGCAGATACCCACCGCCTTGCCAACATCCACCCCAATTATGTGATCCCCAGACTTCTTCGTGGAACAATCTCAGCTCTCCGTCTCACACCTCTGGTCTCCGTCCTCATCCGATCTGGAAAAAACCCATGCCTTCTTCCCAGCCACTCCTGAGAAGCTCCCACGAGTTCTGACTTGCTGTTTCCTCACAGTCCAAACAATTCCTCACAGCTTCCTGGAATCTGACCCACAGTTTCCATTTCAGGCGTCCCATCTCCAGTCGTTTCTGACCTTTGCAGCCAAACCTCCACCAGACCTCTCACGCTATAACTCCTCCACTCCTCTCAGAATCACTTCACTCCCTCTCCCTCAAGATCCAAGCCGACAGCCAAGCCCTTCCAACAATTAATCTACCCAGAATTCAACACTTGCCTTGGCTGGGTTTCCTAAAAGCATTTAAACACAAAGATAATCTCTGCACTGTCGCCTTGAGATGGAACGATAGTTTCATGTGTGTGTGTGGATTTGCTTTTAGAGAAATCTACCCTACCCTCAGTGAAAGTGATACCTATAATCCTCTTCTTCATTTAAACTCAAACACAATCTCTAGGTCTGTTTGTGACATGTTGGCTCCTTCATTGTAGCACCTAAATGTCTATTATCTCCCATGAGTACTCTTGTGGTGCACTTCTGAGCCTGGCTCTGCCCTACTCAGGGCTTTCAACCTAGTCGCTAGAATAAATGTTGGCATGAGATGTTTCTGCAGTCCATGGATGTTACAATTGTATGTTTCATATGTAGCGGATATGTTGAAACTTTACATTTCTTGACCTTTCATTTTTCAGTTGTATGTTATGACAACGCTGTGATTAATGTTAAGGCTCAAAAACTAGTAAGTGTTACGAAAACATAATGTTTGGGTTTAAAATACCTTGTTGTGTTTCTACAAATGCAGCTGGACATGTCCCAAACAGTTGTTAAAAAATACACCGTTTTGTGGGTTTTTTTGCTGCGAACATGGTTGGACATGTCCCAAACTGTTGTTAAAATATACCCAGTTTTGATGCTACACATATGGTTGGACATGTCCCAAACTGTTGTTAAAATATACCCAGTTTTGTAGCAACAAACCTGGCTGGACATGTCCCAAACTGTTGTTAAAATATACCCAGTTTTGATGCTACACACATGGTTGGACATGTCCCAAACTGTTGTTAAAATATACCCAGTTTTGATGCTACACATATGGTTGGACATGTCCCAAACTGTTGTTAAAATATACCCAGTTTTGTAGCAACAAACCTGGCTGGACATGTCCCAAACTGTTGTTAAAATATACCCAGTTTTGTTGCTACAAACATGGTTGGACATGTCCCAAACTGTTGTTAAAATATACCCAGTTTTGTAGCAACAAACATGGTTGGACATGTCCCAAACTGTTGTGAAAATATACCCAGTTTTGATGCTACACATATGGTTGGACATGTCCCAAACTGTTGTTAAAATATACCCAGTTTTGTAGCAACAAACCTGGCTGGACATGTCCCAAACTGTTGTTAAAATATACCCAGTTTTGTTGCTACAAACATGGCTGGACATGTCCCAGACTGTTGTTAAAATATACTCAGTTTTATCTCTACAAACATGGCTGGACATGTCCCAAACTGTTGTTAAAATATACCCAGTTTTGTTGCTACAAACATGGCTGGACATGTCCCAGACTGTTGTTAAAATATACTCAGTTTTATCTCTACAAACATGGCTGGACATGTCCCAAACTGTTGTTAAAATATACCCAGTTTTGTTGCTACAAACATGGCTGGACATGTCCCAGACTGTTGTTAAAATATACTCAGTTTTATCTCTACAAACATGGCTGGACATGTCCCAAACTGTTGTTAAAATATACCCAGTTTTGTTGCTACAAACATGGCTGGACATGTCCCAGACTGTTGTTAAAATATACTCAGTTTTATCTCTACAAACATGGCTGGACATGTCCCAAACTGTTGTTAAAATATACCCAGTTTTGTTGCTACAAACATGGCTGGACATGTCCCAGACTGTTGTTAAAATATACCCAGTTTTGTAGCAACAAACATGGTTGGACATGTCCCAAACTGTTGTGAAAATATACCCAGTTTTTTCATTACAAACATGGCTGGACATGTCCCAAACTGACATTAAAAAACACCCACCTCTGTTACTACAAACATGGCTGGGCATGTCTCGAACTATCATAAAAAAACACCTGTTTTTTTCTGCTACAAATATGGGTGGACATGTCCCAAACTGTCGTTAAAAAACACCTGCATTTGTTGGTCTCGAACAGTGGTCTGCTGCTGTCTGCTGCTTGGCAACCATTTCACCAAGGTGTCTTGCCATCCACCATCCCCTCCTAATGAGAAACTCATATACATGTAATCTGAAGTATGTGACATGCATGAAACAAACAAATGTAACATAACTGTGGTTTCCAGAAACATAATGCCAACATTTTATTCTGGCGACTGGGCAGGGACTTTCAGTGGTGGCAACATAATGACTGTCCATGAGACCACTATTAAACAACTCTCCTCTCTTTATTCTTCCACCTTTTCTCCTCACAGACTATTCCCACGACTGCAAAGGGGTGACACATTTTACACAACCGTGCGTATGTTTTTGTGCTCTTATCCTGTGCATAGATCCTGTAAACGGTGTTCAACAACGCCTGGTGAAGTATCCATATCTCTCCAACACTTTTTGCCCTCTGCATATTGTGGATCACTCTCTTTGGATAGACAGTAAGCCTGAGAGAACTTATCTGTGAAACGAAACCAACAGTTAGTAGGGGGAAAAAAACACTGAACCTGGCATCACATTAGGTACGGTTAAGTTGGCTCCCACTGAAATGAACGACATCGTTGTAAAAGCAATCTGAAGGAGATGAAGCAGAACCTGGAGGAAAAAAAAGGGATGAACTGCGAGAAGGAAATTCCCTCGGTGTCCCTAAAAGCACTGTGGTAGTAGGTAAACCGGAAAAAGATGGGAAAGGGAGTGGCTGAAATGAAAAAAAAAGGAGCAGGCACAGCAAAAGGGCTTCTTGAACCAGGAGATGCTTCAACTTGAAACTCTTTACTGCTAATGAGGAGAGAAAAAGAAGAAAAGACATCACAGATAACAAAAGAAGAGGCTTTTTCATTTCCTCCCGTCTGTATTGCCGACTCTTTTATTGCTTTGTCTGCTTTCCATCTCGCAGCTTGAAACTATTTTTAGATGAGATGTATTGAAAATAGTGTAGAAAGGAGACATGCTGTGCGCAAAAGCTCACCATGGAAATGTTGTCTGTCAGTCTAATAGGAAGATACACTGTATTCTATTTATCTCTGATGAGAAACTCAAAATCTCTGCTGTCAATGTGAATAATGGCCACTCACTGTTGATATTATAGGTATTTTAACTGCACTTAAAAGCACATGTGTCTGTCACAAAACAAAACAGCTGTTACTCAGATCATCTTCACTGTGTCTATGAGTGTAAATACATTATGAAACCCTGTAGCCGTTATAATGACCTCTCAATATCAGATGCTGGTTTCAGCGTACTTGTGGTGGTTTTTATCAAAAAGCTCGTATCCACGCTGGTGTAGCATGAGCTGTTGTCATGGTAACAACATCTTTCCCTTCCTGGATGGGAGCTGTCAATCAGAGGTGCATAAAATAGCTGCTGCCATTGGAGCAGGGGGGGAAAAAGGGGGTCAACATCGGCCCCCGAGAGCCATTGCATTTTAATGGGATTCCATTTGTAGACAGGTCCCTCTGTGTCCAGCCATTCATTGTTTGGATAGCAGCTGTAGCTTAATGCTGCAAAGACCCGTGATCAGATTGAATAGTATTGATCAGTTCTTCAGGACATACAGTCGTTCCTCCAGGACTACAAAAGCCTCAAGGAGTGTGTGTGTGTTGGTGTGTGTGTAGGTGTGTGTGTGTTTGTGTGTGCTGACAGTCACATAGGAATGGAGTTGTTCGGGCTAAAACACAAGTGGCTATTTCACGGTCGGGTGGAGATGTCGTGTCCATGTCTGTCAAGGCCCACAGGAGGAAGGGGAGGGCTGAAACTTCCGTTGAATTTGGAAATTCTCCACTTTGGATATGTGAATTGGGAGAAATGGTTTGCAGTGGTAAAAGGCTGGTGAGTGTGAGATCTGGCTTAATTTATGCAAATGACCCTTGGTAGGAGCTCCTGATGCTATAATGTAACTATTCTCATGAATATAACAAATTGATCTTGATGATACTAATGCTAAAAATTCTGTGTAACCTCTTATTGGTGTTACAGGAACAGCTTCAGGAAATATAGTAATTTGTGAGGATGAGAAGATTTACTCCACTATCATATCTGTACGCTACACTGCCAGCAGCCTGTTAGCTTAGCATAAAGACTGTAAATGGGAAGAAACAGCGAGCCTTACTCTGTCCAAGGGCAACAAAATCTGGCTACCGGCACTTCTAATGCTAAGCAGTTAACAAGCTCTATCTAATTTGTTTAATGTCTGTTCAGTTTTGTTGTATGACCTTGGTTTTGTCAGGCTCTTACTAACTTCTTATTTTTTCTTCTCTACTTACATCTAACATATATTGTACCAGTGGTAATGAAAGCAGCCTCATCCATGCCCCATGTATTTCGGCCGTTACGTTGAAATATTCGTGACAATATCCGGGCAAAAGTTAAAATTTAAATCTGCCTATTTGCTTTCTTGCCAAAAGTTAAATGATGACATCGATATCACCATTATATTTGTCTATTAAATATAAAGCTACACCCAGCAGTCAGGTTAGACTGTTAGACGGCTTTAGGCTTTCCTCATTTCGATTCCCGTCCTTGCCTCCCGGTCTCTCCTCACTGAGGTGCGAGCAGAGGAGGTCAGGAGGAGACACGAGGAGAGAGGAGTTGGGGCAACAGGCATTTAACAAAATGAGACATGCTGTAGAAACATTATTTTAAAGTAATGTCATACTGAAGTGGGGTACAGCTGCATCATAAGCTGTGTTTCACACCGGCAACACCCTTTTTTTATTTGTCAAAGGTGCTGAAAAAACATCTGCAAAGGACACACCTGTGCAAGCCTTCTCTCTCCTTAAGATGCATTTTAGGAATTTCACAGACATTTATCAAGATGGCACGCTGAGATCGATTTCCGGGTCACAGGTAGGAGGGCGGAAGAGAGAGGAGACAAGGAGGCACAAAACTGACAAATGAGAAAAGCCACCTGTCCAAAGGCAAAAAAAATCCACCAACCAACACCTCTGAAGGTGTATCGGTACAAAACTGAAGTGCTGGTTGATGAAAACTGAAGTGGAATGTGTGTTTTGATACCCAGGGATCATGGAAAACCAGAAAAAGTCATGGAATTTCATAGTCTCATTTTCCAGAGCTGGGAAAGTCATGGAATTAGTGAAATCCTTGAACGTTCTGGGAGAGTCACGGAATTTCATTGTGTGTAATGAAATTAATTGTTGCAGTAATCTTCCATGGATAACCTTCCGCGTAATGTAACATAACAGCAAATTTATTTTCTGGAGCTGTTGACATAATGTAGCTCTAATATTCAGTGATGTGTGACATTTTGTGTTTTCACCCCATGATCGGTCTCTTCATCCGTGGATGCCCGCTAGCTGGAGTTAGGTTTGAATAGAGTTTGAATCTGGTATGTTTGAATAAAAATCGGATCATGAATCCCAAAGTTTCCATCTATGCTACACCCCACAACTACTTTTAATTATACAGCATTTTTTAGATGGAGCAATGTTCGTGGTATACATTGTAAATGGTTATGGAAATTTTATTTTGAGTCCTTTAAAAGTCATGGAAAGATTTTGAAATGAGATTTTTGTCCATGGAAATGTGTGAGAACCCTGGATACCTTTAGACGGAGCCAGGATAGTTGTTCCAATTTTTCCAGTCTTTATGCCAAACTAACCAGCTGCTGACTTTAGCTCCAAATGTAGCAGACAGACATGAGAATGTTATCAATCTCCTCATCTAAGTCATGGCAAGAAGAAAATATTCCCCAAATGTCAAACGTTTTTTTCAAGTTAAACTCATTTTGCTCGGATATGGTTGAGAAGCATTCAAATTTGTGCACAGAAGCCTGACAAAACCAAGGTCCATGCATCCCCAAAAATCCTGCTGGGAAAAGAACACAAGGCTGAGTCCTTGTGATCTTACAGTATATCAACCACTTGCATTGCATTTCATCATATTTTGATTGTGGCCCTGTAAAGAAAGTACTGTGTCTGTGTTATTACTCAATTGCAATTCTGCCCTTCAGTGCGGCTGTAAAGGATTATTGAAAGCGTTCATGTCAAAATGTATTCTCTCAAAGCTTCTTTGAAATTAATTTTTAAAAATTTCATGCAGACACAATAAACTGTAGGTTAAGACCTGAATTTGCTTGCAGGCTCTCCACTACATAACAAATGTAGCAGTGTGTTTCAGTGATCCAGGCTGCAGCACCGTAATAACCCTGGGTGTATGCAGTAAAATATTGATATTTTATTGTTACTCTCCAGAGTTTGTGCTCGCCCCATACACACGGGGGGGGGG